ATTCACAGTAAAATGCATAAGTTTTTGTTCTATCTAATGATAAATATTTTATATTGTGCTGCATCTATAATTTGCACATTTTATTAGATAGTTTGTAGGCTTTAGTTTTTAAGTTCTTTTTTGACATTTGAATCTTATTTCCGTTAAGAAACTCGAGAAAATTGACTATTTCCCAATTTTAATTTATTTTACTTCTTTATAACAATCTATACATCAATTTAAACAGGTCAGAACTTAGTCTGTTCTCATTGCCTAGTATTGTTATGCACTGTACTTGAAAGCTGTTTATATATTTTGAACGCTATTTTTTTCAACTCTAATTGTTGTTGTTGTTGTATTCTAAATTGCCTTTGCTTCGACAATGGCTTTTGGGTAATGAAATGACTCCAAGTTAATCTTATATTCCAGCCTCAGAAATTTTGGACTGGAAATGGGTAGCTTACATAAGTTTGCACAAGCAGTGTGAATTTGTCCTAGATGCTTTCAATCTCAATTTGTCGACTGTAGCATTTACCAGTTCTGAAGGGTTTTCAGGTCTTATCCTTTACCCCAAATTCTTGTAGGATGAGGAGAGTTTTGTGTTTGTATAATTGATTCTCATTAATGGAATAGCTTGTAGAACTTCAATGGACAAATTCTCCTTTGAACCCAAAGGCACTTTTCTCCAGCCTGGTTTTATTCAAGAAATTTATTTTCCTATTTAGAAATTACTCTGAAAATTGGAAATTAAAAACATAAAGCAAATATGAATCACGATAAATAATGTGGTTGTTAAAAACTTGCTTGCAATTTTCAAAGTAACTTCTCAATTTTTATTGAGGAAGTTTCATCTAAACACGAGGAAAAACTTCTTTACTGTGAGGGTGACAGAGCACTGGCACAGGCTGCCCAGAGAGGGTGTGGAGGCTCCTTCTCTGGAGACTTTCAGAACCCAGCTGGATGCGTTCCGGTGTGCCCTGCCCTAGGGGATCCTGCTCTGGTAGGGAGGTTGGACTAGATGATCCCTAGAGGTCCCTTCCAACTCTGGTGTTTCTGTAGTTATGCCATTCATGTATTTTTGCAAAAATCTGTGGGCATTACAGATTGAATTAGTCACGATTGTGGCTTCCAAGAAATAATCTTACTTGCCGTGTCTTCTGAAATATTATTATTTAAATATTACCATCAACTTGGTAAAGCTGTAATGGCACATCTCATCTTGGAATGTTGCATCTTTGCTGTAGAAGTCCAATTGTTAACTTTTAGATTTATTTTATTTATTTTTTTTTAACACTTAGGAAAGTCACTGTTCTCTGCAACATTCTAGAGAGCAACAGATTATTTTGAAAGTCAAAGACTTTTTCCATAGACAGTAATGGCGCAGCAGCTATTTGCTTAGTATTTATTTATGAAATGAGCCTTTAGGCTCATTAGGAATATATAGGAAAAATTAAATAGGAAAATTAACTTATAAATAGGAAATTAACTTACAGGTGTTGACTTACAGGCAAGGCAGTTGCATAGTACCAGCTTTCCTTTCCAGCCTCTCCTATATTTTCCTGTTTCATCATTTCACTTTCCCTCCATGTAGATGGCTTGATTATAATTGTCTCTCATAAACTTTTAAGAGGAAAATACTTATATGTTTTTTGCAACTCTTTTTTATCTAAGAAATAGCAGTCTTTCTTGTGTTGTTTTTTTCTTTTATGGGCAAAATAATTTTGATTAAAAAACCCCACATTAATCATCTTGGCAGAAATTATCTAAAAACCCACTCCTTCATATTTTACAGAAGTGATTGAAATTTTTGAGCTGACCTTGCTCCTCTTTGGCTACAGATGGGCATTTAACGAAACAGATGCTAGACAGACAAACCAATGTGGCCAAAGCAAGGGCAAGCTAACAGAGCTGTGATTTTCTTGACCACATTATTCCTCACATCTTTTCTACAATAGACAACCAAATCTGTATGTTAGAGATATTTATGACTAGCAATAGAGAATAATTCTGAAAAAAAAATCAGTGAAATTTCAAACTTTTTTCCATGTTAGTGACTTAATTGGTTGCATACTTATGCCTGCTGCTGTTAAAGCTTCTGGGCAAATCGAAATGTTGGTAAGGCAGTTCTACAACAGTAGTTGTTTTCTCTCTTCTCCATTGTGGTGAGCAGCAGACATTCAACCTTCATCTTTGGCACAATGGGCTTGACATTATCAAATGTCTGCTTTTTTTTTTTTCCCTTGTGCCTTTGGAAAAAGTGATGTTATTAATGGTATTTCAAAGCTAAATCTTCATATCTTACTGTGAAGGCTGTGTCTGTGACAAAGACCATGACTTTTATTCTTGATTAATAAAAATCCATGTCATTTAGTCTTCCACAGAGATAGGCTTCCTTGCATTTTGACTGCTGCACAGTTTGTTGAAAGGCAAAATACGCCTTGTGTCTATCAGGATATTCTCTTCTCAATACAGATGAAAGCCATAAATTCCTGGTAGTTTCTTAAGCTATGATTGTTATTATAGCTTTTGCTTGCTTTCTCACCACCTCTTTTTTCCCCCTCCCTGACCAAGTAACTTAAAGATCAACAGATATTATGCTAATAGATAGAAGGAAGGACAACCAGTAAACAAGGAGGGGAAATAATTGTGTGTTGCCACCATAGTCATTCAGTTAAATTGATCTTCAGTGCTGAAATGAAGCTGCCAGAGAGATAAACACAGTATGATTGTTTCCAATTTATTCTGTAATGAATCTGATGCTCCAGGCAACCAGAAGGTCATTCTACTGTGGTAAAAGAAAGGGTATGAATGGTGTATATAAGAAATTAAATTAGTATTCCTATATGGAAGAGTAATGCTGCTTATGGAGTTGTCACATAGACTCAGAAATATGTGTTTATCAATACTGCTAATGTTACATGAGAATTTCTGTCAGAGGAATGTGAACTTACTCTCTTGGCAGTGTCTTGTCTGACAGTCTCTGTTTCTGACCAGTGTCAATCATCTGCATCTCAGTCTAAGGAATCCATAATTTTTCAGCAGAAGTTGAAAGGTTGCCCATACTTTTAACAAGATCTATCTATTCTTTCATGAGTGGTTAAACTGATTATAGAAAAATAGAAACCATAATGAAAATACTGTGAAAAAAAATGGCTGCAGTTTCTTGGCATAAAAGTGAATATGATTAATTTTCTTTCACTCAGGATTTATGCTGCATTTCTCAAAAGGAACATTTACTTTGGCATGATTTCTGAATTGTCAGAAACCCAAAATCCTGTTGAGTTTGCTTGAATGTCTTTGAGCACTTACTTGGCCTAGCAGATAAAGAGTTTTGGTTGATAATATTTAAGCACTTTAGGGGAAAGCAGTCTGGAGGTTGATGATTTTCAATGTGGCTGATCTATCATTGATACTTCCTGGTAAAACAGGGACAATATTCCAGAGGGTCTCATGGCGTTAACTTTTGTATGTAGTATAGCATCTGGAGGGAACATGGGTGACTGTGGAGAGATTTAACAATACATAAGGTTGTAGAGGGCAGTGTGACATGCATCAAAGCTGCTCTTCTCTAGAGGGTCCCTGGTTTCAGCCCAGGAAAGAAGGATTCAAGCATCTAGAATATATTTTATACCAAATAGGTGATGGTACAAAGAATACCATTTTCCTTCAACTATGAATTGTGCACTTGTAATAGAAAACATCAGTAGCTTCTAGATTTGCCGGTCCAAATTCTGCTTTAGATCTGTCCCAAGGACTTGAAAGGTCAGTATATTGTAGAGGTAATAAAAACATAAAATTACCTTCTTGAACTAATCCCTGAATAGCATTTTGTCAAGAAATTGACTTCTCTGTCACAGATTTTCCAGAGACTGATGAAGATTTCTTTTTTCTTTCTCAGACGGCTTCATTCTATTACAACATACCAGTGTATCACTTCTCTTTGTCTTTCAGTCTGCACAAGGTGGTGGTCATCGAACGCTACTCTATGGGCATGCAATCTTGCTGCGCCATTCCTACAGTGGCATGGTATGTAACAGGAATTGATAGCGGCAATGTTTTGGTTTTTTTTTTGTATAAGAGAATTTTGTATGGAGAATTATTCACATCAGAGAGGCATTTTACCTGTGGATAATGGAAATCTTTGTGAATGGTAAATACTTTGAAATATGAGAACAAGCTAGTCTTGTCTGCGTAAGTGCTGAAACAAAGTCTGGCTCCATAGTGATGAGTTCTCAGTTTGTCAGTCTAGTTTGAATTGGTGGTTTCTCATTTCTTTTCCCTTGGATACTGCATATTGCATAAGCTGCGACTGAATCTGCAGCTGGCAACCTGCTGTTGGAAACTGAGTAGAAAAGGCATTTCCTTCTTGCACATATTTTGTACAGGAGCCTTACTCTTCAACTCCCTGATGAATTATACACGTTCCAAACTCCCTAACTACAACTGAGGCTTCATGGAGCTGAAAATTGATACAACCAGCGATTTCATTTCCACTCTCACTATTCCCATCTCAGTGGAAATATAACTTGAGTAGACTGAGACGTTATTTTAGAACATGTGTCTTTGTCAAGTCTCCTTGAGTGCCATTCAGTTTTTCAGCTGTATATGTTCTTAATGCTAAGTAGTGGGCATAATATAAGGATGGTTAATCCTGTGCTAGTAGTTGATGGCTTTGTATGTTTCAATGGATTATTAGATGTGAGCAGAACTAGTGATGCATGCTTTTTTCTTTTGTTAGTACCTATGCTGCCTCTCTACATCTCGATCTTCAATGGATAAGCTGGCATTTGATGTAGGATTGCAAGAGGACACAACAGGTAAACTTTAGTTTAAAAGACTAATGAGTAATACTTTCAGTCTAAAATCAGAATAGAGACTTTTAAATGCATATAAATCACATGAAAATTAAGAATATTTTAAGGACTAAAGAAGCAAAACAGTATTTCCATATTTTCACATTAAGCATCCTTCCATTTTGCAATAGATTGTGTGATTTCTTTTCTATGAGATATTAAAATGTCTGTTGGTATTTATATATAAATTTGTAATAGTGAATATATTTAAAGGAATATTCCCAAGCTGTCATTCCTGTAGAAGCCTTCTACTATTTTTTTTTTAAACTTGGATTCTTTTAAATAAAGATTCTATCAACGTTTTAGAACTGCTGGTAACTTGGATTTATTTGTACTTTTAAGACTGATATATCTTCTTACAATGCCGTTAGTTTGGTGTAATTGTTTTAGAAATAATAAGTTTGCTTGTTTTTTAAAGCCTTGCTTTAGCTAGGAGTAAGGACAATAGTAACATCAACAATTGATCAACTCCAAGATCAAAGATATTTTTTCCAAAAAGCACACTTTTCCAGAAGTATATCTGAAAGCAAGGTTTATCATGGGAAAAGAATTTGTGATTTGATTACTTGTAAATATTCTGGGGAATTGGAGACACTGCCAGTAGGAGTGGAAAAACAAAACTGAATTGAGATTTATGAGCTCTTTCAAACATAATTTTAAGAGATATTGTAAAAGCTTATTCTTCTTGCCATTAGCGATGGATTGCTTCACCACTTTGTCCTAACTCTCAGTGGAATATTCTTCAGTGTCTTTCCCAGGACCTGGAACAAAGCTGATAGGGAAGCTCTTCAGCAAGAGCAGCCTGGACTAGGTTGCCTAGAGAACACAGAGAGCCACCTCCTTACTCAGCTCTGCAATCACTGTTCCAGAGAGGTCTTGCTACCTTCTGCATATGTGTATTCTTTCCAGCCACCAAGGTGGTGCAGGAATGTTATCAGTTATCAAAAACACATGGACACTTGGTTTCCCCAACTGAAAACTGGGTCAGAATTTTAGGAGTGAGAGAAATGTGAAAATAACGACAACAGTGTTGGGCATTTTTCTTTAAAATTTCTTTCTCTACTACCACTCAATAATCATGTAGGTGAGGCATGCTGGTGGACCATCCATCCTGCTTCCAAGCAACGATCAGAAGGAGAAAAAGTCCGAGTTGGAGATGATCTTATTTTAGTCAGTGTCTCTTCAGAAAGGTATTTGGTAAGTTCTGTAAGAATTTGTACAGTGTTTCCTGTACAGAAAACACAGTTAATAAAAGTGTTATGCTAAAGTCTGGTTTACATTTCTAGCATGCAAAAGTGTAGTTCAAGGTGTTTAAGCTGGTTTTTGATACCATTTTGCAAACAGAGACACTAAAGGTCTGGAAAGTGTGGCATTGATATGTGACTACTCTAATTTACGGTCACTGCAGTAATGGAAAGAAGTTGAAAAAGTCCCTGTGAGTGTTCAGAGCTCAACAGGTCTTATCGTATATGACTTAAAACTTTGCATAAAAAATCTGGAATGTGTAATGTAAGTACATAATATTTTGTGGGCTTTAAAAGGTCCATATTTTCTTAGGATTATATACAGTGATATATATAAAGTCAGTGACATGTCATAATTAAGTATAATTAAAATATTTAAAAATTAAATATAATCGAACTATTTTAAAATTTTCTGTGGTAGTTGCTTTTTATCACTCGGTCAAATAACTTATCTCCCATTTGTTCTGTAATGAAATGCTTCAGTGCTTTGAGTTGAATTTCTGTTCATGATGTTTTCCGATGACACCAAGCTGTGTGGTGTCGTGGACTCACTTGAGGGAAGAGATGCCATCCAGAGGGACCTTGACAGGCTTGAGAAGGGCCAGTGCAAACTGCATGAGCTTCAACAAGTCAAAATGCAAGGTTGTGCACCTGGGCTGGGCTAATCCCAGGCACAGATACAAACTGGGCACAGAGTGGGTTGAAAGTAGCCCTAAAGAGAAGGATTTAGGAGTGTTGATAGACGAGAAGCTCAACGTGAGCCAGCAGTGCGCTCATGCAGCCCAGAAGGCCAACTGCATCCTGGGATGTATCAGGAGAAGTGTGGTCAGCAGGTCAAGAGAGGTGATTCTCCTCCTATACTCTGCTCTTGTGAGACCTCACCTCGAATACTGTGTCCAGTTCTGGTGTCCCCACCATAAGAGGGACATGGATCTGTTGGAATGAGTTCAGAAGAGGGCCATGAAGATGATCCAGGGGCTGGAGAACCTCTGCTATGAGGACAGGCTAAGGGAGCTGGGATTGTTCAGTCTTGAAAAGAGAAGACTTTGGGGGGACCTTG